ATACCCTGAAGTGCTGCACAATAGACGTTTATCTTAAGGCCCAAAGCACAACGACGGGCTGCTTAGCAATCTCCCCTTTGAAAAAAAAAAACCACCCCCTGGAACAGCTGGCAAAATATAGGCAAAATAAATGCTGTAGTTACATAACGCTCTCAAAAATATCTGCCAGAGAAAACACTCAGACTAAAAAAACGATCCCCAACCACTCCAATACCCGATTCCCTCAAGGGAACCTTAAAAATCAACCCTATAAATCATTTGGTACTCGGATAGAAGTTTCTCTGTCTGTGTACAGTTTAATACTTGAGCATAAAATGTAGTCTGGGCAAGGTTTGCAGCTCGGCCAATAATTCTGTCGAGCGCTCTACTTATCTCTATATATATATATGATTCCCGGAACAATCCTTCATCACTCTAACCTATCCAGTTGATCACTTCTGCGCACACCAATAAGAGAGACAACCACGCACAGAGATACTGTTGATGAGCAGCAAGGAAGGAGAGGCGATTATAGCACCAGCATCGATTAAATGTTTCGCTTCAGATTCAATACAACTGTGATACATATAACATGTAATACAGCCTGCATGGAAGAACATAACCTAAGCCCTCAGGACAATTCTTCACACAAGTAATATAGACACTGAGCGATACAGTTGTCGATAATTTATTTAACCTTAACTTATATATTATCTTTTTTTTATAATATTTAAAACTTCTCTCTATCTTTTTGTACAGTTTTACTAATATGTAGATATTTCTGATATATGTAAATCCTTCTAATGTTTATTATATTTTATATATCTTATAATGTTTTCCTTGGTAACCGAAATTATATATATTATATAAATTATCTTCCATTTCTAGAATTGTGTTTCTTCTTAACTCTTAGAAACGTCTCTCCTATATCTCTCTTTTCTATATATGAGTTTTTACTCTTCTTTACGACATTTCAGTTACACCTATATGGCTATACCCACAGGTGATTTGACGTTCGATCAACCGTTTGTAAACTCGTCAGCACTGCCTGCCGCACGGATTTTATTGCTTCACACACACACTCGTTGTCTCCGACTCTCAGCCACAGCATTTGATCCGCATCACAGAATTTAACTTACCACTTCGAATGATGTCCTGAAACACAACACGTGAGTAACCCCTCTCCCTTGGACTTTCACAGCAATTAAACAGCCTGACACAAATGACATCCGATGAAATAGCAACATTGAGCGGACTTCAACACATCGTAGCGGCCACTCGGAGACACAGGCTTGGGAGCCAAAGGACACGGACATGAAATGGAACCACCTACAAGAATGGCTCGCGTCATTTTTTTTCAGTGGGCCATGCGATCTTCGGCTTTGACTGCCTGATCTCTTACATGTCAACACCTTTCCATGATGCGCATTTAATGGCTTGCAAAAAAGGCCATTACACTTGTTTGGACTTGGTCCCAATCTACTCGCTAAATGAAGTCAGCTGTTAACACGGCGAACAGATGCTACATCTTGTCGAACTTACCCCGGCTCCTTTGCCCAAAGTTCAGCACTGCAGCAAAAGTTGATAACCAACTCTCGTATCTGGTACACTGTGTAGCTGGCAGACCGAGCCAGCTGGTGAGCTTACGCTACAACACAAAGCCCCGGAGAGGGGAGGGAAACGCTAAGCCAGGCTCTGTCAGTAGGACAAACCAATTCTACCTACACAAACAAATACTAATCCTGTACAACAACTTCGCTTGTTTTACCACGGACGTTAATGTGCCATAGTAATGTCTTGGTTCGGCCTGGCAACTGGTCCTGGCCAAGAAATAGTTCTGTGCTGGTAAGTGCTTCTTGTTACGTTTGGACAGAGCCAGAATTAACATTTTTACCCTGTTTCCAGTATTCTATCATGCCCCTTTATTCAAAGCTTTTTAAAGGGTTCACTCGTGTACCCCAAGGAGCAGGTACGGCCAGGACTCTATCTCCGGGCAGACAACTGTAATATAATAATTTATCAGGTATATTTTCAATTAGTGCGGTATAATCCCTGAAATACAGAATTCTACAGAGGGAGTGGTGGTCCTCTTCCACGACATGGCGCGCCAATTTTAACCGGAACCTCGGCGTCTCCTTGCGACCACCCATCAGTTTCCTCTATCACACTCTGGCAAGGCGAGCGGTATTCGTTTCGGTTGGAATCTCGGCAATTCAGCCCACTAGATGCCACTAAATACTACAAACTGGTGCCTAGCTGAGGTAACCAGCCGCTGGCGCAAGCTACACATACAGCCTATCAGACAGGAGATTGGTATCAAATCTTTCATGTAACTCTTGGTACAAAAGTAAATATGCAAATTTCCCGAAATGTCAAACTAATCCCTTAAGACATTAAAAACATTTGTCAAGACACAAGAAAAAAGACCTGACCTTTGAATACTAAGCCCTCATTTATTTTAGTTAAGAGTATCATGTATCATGGCTGCAGCTTCTTTAACAACTTCTCATGAGTTGTGAGTGCTGAAGGAGTTTGTGGGTTTAAAGATTTTGACATCCTGGTCTTCTTAAGAATAGGCCTGTATATGCTGGAGAGGGTTCAGTTATTGCTTTTTCTGAGATCTATTTGTCTTTGCCTCTCATAGAACTTGGAGAATTTATTGAAGATGTTAGTAATGGGCAGAGCCACGATCAGTAGCCCACAGACAATACATACGGTTCCTATCAGCTTCCCAGCAAGTGTAACAGGAAAGGTGTCCCCGTAGCCCACTGTAGTCATGCTGATGGTGGCCCACCACCAGCCTATGGGCATAGTCTGTAGCTCCGACTCTTGACAGTCTTTCTCTACACAGTAAATGAGAGCAGAAAACATGGAAATGCCAACAGACAAGAAAAGCACCAGCTGCCCAACTTCATGGGAACTGTGTTGCAGTGTGGCACCAAGAGAGCGAAGACCAGCTGAGTGACGAGCCAGTTTAAGGATTCGAAACACTCGCATCAGCCTTAAGATCTGCACAACTTTGCCAACATTCTCCAAGTCTGTGTTCTCACCTTCATCCATAATATCACAAGCTATAGTGACATAGAAGGGCATAATTGACATTAAGTCAATAATATTGAGAGGGCTGCACAAGAACTTCTTAGCTGATGGCGAAACAGCCAAACGAAGAACAAACTCTGCAGAGAAGAACATTACAAAGAAGCTCTCGAAGAAAGTCAGCACCGGGTTTTCAATCTTTTTCTCATTGAGATCCATTTGATGGATATCCGGCATGCTGTGGATGCACATTGCAACAATAGAGCCAATGACCACACTTAGGGATGCTACAGCCATCACTTTGGCTGAAGTAGAGTAACCTGGATTCTCGAGTCGTAGCCAGATATTCCTGCGGGCGTCTGCACACCAGGAACCTTCAAACATTTCTATGTTGTCCTCCGAAGCAGACAGCTCCTCAATAGACGAGTCCAAGCTGTGGAGCTGCAGTTTGTCACTATTCTGATCCCTGCACTTATCATCAGCAAGCTCTATCAGTTCATGGAATTTGTTGCTGCAGCAGATTTCCAGGTGGCGCTCCTTGATGCCCCAATACTCGATCTCTTGAATAAACGAGACTACGCACAATCCGTCCACCAGGTGGATTTTACCTGTGAGGTAAAAGTTGAAAACGTAGCAGAAGAAACGCGGATTGCGGTCAAAATAGTATTCCATTTCAGAGGGACTGAAGTCGTCGCAGAGCTCCAGGATTGCTTCTTTGGAGCTGCAACACAGAAGGCGACCCAGGCGTGTCTGTGGGAATCGTTTCAGAATGTTGTGCTCCATTTGTTGTTTGAAACCACCAACGTTGACATTGATAAAGCAACCGTCAGGGCTGTGTCGATGAAGGATCTGTCCATACACCATGATGGAGCAGCTGCTAGATGCTGTTCAGCTATCTTTGGCGAAAATCTCAGAGGCTTGGTCGCCTGCACACAAAGACACTGAAATTAGTACACCTCACACTCATTTGAACACACCGAAGTGCATTACACCAGAGGCGTCAAGTATCATGTTGCATCTGGGTTTCTGTGACACCCTGTAATGGAATGGATAAATGACAGCATCCCTTGCGGGGCAGGTTTTATTTACATGTACACATAAAATGTTTCCATCAGGCATTGAAAATGTATAGTTACATTTCTATTCGTCACAAGTTATATAGGTTACACATCATGGCAGTACTGTACAGTAGTGGTCCTAAATCTTTTTGGTGTGAAGGATCCCCAAATTGATACACATCAGGCTGTAATAAGATGCAGTCCGAGGGATCTCTGTCTGATAAGGTTTAGTTATTCCATAACTGTCTATACTGTAGATTGTCTCATTAAGTCATTCGTATACATATACAAGTTTTAGTTAATTAAATAATAGTGAAATTAAAATATTTCCATTTTTCTGGGAATGCCCTCAAGAACCCATGGGGGCCCATGAGAAGCACTGCTCCACAGTATGCATTTGCATGCAACATTATTAAACTTGTAAAATATGCTAGATAGAGTTAGATGTGCAAAATTGAAACAAAAATGACCCTAAGCCTTAACACAACTGGCTCATTACATTGCATGCATTGTCTACCTAAGCTTAGAACTAGTGCTAATAGAATTATATGCACCATTAATGTCTTTACAATAGACCTCTATGATACCTAGTGTGGCAAACCTTTTAGATGCAAACATTGACTATTTACTCGTAAACAGTCATCAATACTGCTGTCACTCTGCTTGTAGCTCTAAAACGAGCAGCACTGTCCCACTTGTATTGTGTTACGCACGGATATATCGCGTTTCAAATTGCAGCGAAATGGCAAACCAAGGTCAGATTTGACACGTTTTTTGCAGCAACAAAAGTTGTTAATGTTTTAGACTGTTTTAAAACCGATGGCGACGCATGAAAAGTGAAAGACTAAAGTGACACAAAACTGACTTTGTGCGACAATTGCAAGGACACTGGGAATCTTGCACCAAATTATCCAAAAATCGTGCACAAAATCTAAATACTACTTTATATTCCAAATAATGTCAATGGTCGCAGCAAGAGCATGGTGTTTCCTGTACAAGCATCTCTGCATAAAGGTAGAAACTGGAAGGAATGATCACAGCAGCGTACCTGTCCTGTCCATGTGCTGTACCGGCGGCGCAGATGTCCTGCTGGTTCACTTCGCTCAGTGTACAGTGCGGTGGAGGGGGGCTGGTTTGAGTCCAGCGCAGGGCGGAACGCAGCTCCTAACAGGACGATTGATCACACGGCTCCTGGCACATCATTCCCCACTAACAGGCTGCTTCATACATTAAAACCTGGATGTGTAATGTGCTACCAGTGTCCGGGGCGCGCCTGTTCATTAAGGTGTGCCAACTTTATCACTGTAAATATTTGATGCTTCTTCAGGCTGAGTGCTCACATTATTCTGTAGGTACAGGCTGCTGCTGAGTTTGTTTTCATCTAATTGTGGATATATTCTGTGGTATTTTTGTTTGCTCTGCTGATTTTTAAAATAACTGTAATTTAGTTATAAAAATAACAATAAGACTAATGTAAACCTAACAGAATACAGCAGAGGGGGGTAGAATTAATAAAAAGTACTAAAAAAGAACTGGTTGAAAAGAAATGAAATAGCAAAAATAGAGTATATCAACCTTTGAGAGTGCATCATTCTTGCCTCCCTTCATTGGCTTCCAGTAAAACACATAATCATTTTCAAAATCTTAATAATCACATACAAGGCCTTGCATGGCATGGGCCCCTCATATAAATTGTTGACCCCACCATTACCGCTCCCAGCCACTCCGATCTTGCAACCAATAACTTCTGTCCCACGTACACATTTTAAATCCAGAGGTGTAGCTCCTCAGTGTTCACCATGTGTGTGTATGGAAGTGTATGTGTTTGTATACTTGTATTTTACATGTGTTTTAATCCGATATGTGAAGCACTTTGTAACTGTGTGTTTTAAAAGGTGCTATAGATATAAAGTTATTATTATTAATATTCACACACACTGTTTGAAATTATGCACATGTGATTGTGATGCAGAGTTTGATGAGCTGGCAGCAGAGGGAAGTGTAAAAGTGTGCAAGAAAGCTGGTGAAGATTTAGTGTCACAATATGCCGCTGGAGTTGTGCATGGTTTTAAACATGCAACATTACTATCTTATTATCTAGTATTAGCCTTTATGGGCCCAGTGACACTTAAAGCTGATATTAAAGTTAAAAAAAACTCAGTAGTTGTTGGGGTAAATAGACCTCCACCTTAAAACCTGCATGTATTGGCACTTTTCTTATAAGCGAACATGGAGTATTATTTAGATAATTCATTTTAAATTACTCAAATGAATTAAAAAAACCCTTGGTGAGGGAGTCAGTGTCATGGCCTAGCCTAACCTTAGTAACCTTTAGTTAAAGTTTGAACAATGACTGTTTATGATGCTGTATCTGACACACTGATGCCATTTACTGACAGTAGGTGGCAGGAGAAGATCAGGTCAGCGTAGATCGCTGACATGCAACAAAACAATGAGAGCAAGGCCATGAGGATTTGGTTTTACAATTAATTCCTTCAGGTTATTTTCTGCAACCATTAACCCATTATCATATAAAACCAATTGAAACCACAACACAAGCAGCTGTGCCCTCATTGTCTGACCCATGGAGATCACATACCCAACTGTAAGAGTTCCAGCACAGATACTTATTTGTTCCGCACTATTCCCAAGTGCAGCGATGTTCTCAGTAAACACTATTAATGGTGTGGGTATTGATTGCTGTGGTTTTCAACTGGACCAGTTAATGGTTTAAAAGCCGTCTGCCCTTTGCAGAACAGTATTTTCCACATCATGTACAGTGGTCAAAAATGCTGCATGACATTAAAAGGTCAGCAGAATGAAATCCAATCAAAATACATTTTACATTGTTGTATATATGTGACAGTTTATTTACTGCTTACCTCCATATGAAAATAGTTAACAAAGCAGTTATATTCATTCATGTACTTTACAACATTTAAGGTCAAACAAATACATTTAACAAAATTATTACAGACATATAAACTAAAGCTCAGTGAACATATATTTTGCTGTTTTGATAGTCGTTTCATGAACTTAAAACATTACGTTGAAATGAAGTGCAACTATTTCCAAATCCTTTTAAAAAGAAACATGTATATAGGCTGAAGTATATTACAATGCTTTTAATGGTTTAATGGTTTAATGGTTTCCCCTCCAAAAATGAAGTTATCCTACTGTTAGAGAACTGTGACACAGCAGGCAGTTGCTATATTTGTGGATCTCTCGCTCTATAGCGCAGTGTTTACACACACTGCACATCCAGAACTGATACTCCTGGATCGGTAGGCCTGTCACAATGCACGTGGGTAATTTTCCTTCCACCCTAAAAGGGGAAAAATAGAATTAGTTGATGTCCATTTTACGGTTACTGCACTTCTGTTTTGACAATAGGGTAATGAGTATAGCTCATTTAAACATACTTCAATGAATTTTTAACTGGTTTATTGGTCATTTAACACTGATGCCTCTATATGACCTACAGAAACACACGAGATCATCAGTGAGAAGACTGGCTATTTCTATATAGTTATACTTAATGCCTGCCACCGAGATTCCTCTTCGTATCACTGAAACAAGACAGCGGAAACACTACCACCTTTGTCCACAGGGGCCGCCAGAATCAACACAACATGAAAGTTCCTTGCTCCTTTAAAATGTTGGTGTTGTTTCCTGAAACACTGCCTTACCCTGGCTACTACTTCTGATTCCTACTTTGGTACTAATTATTTAAAAACACAGCCCTGATAATGTGTGGAGGCAGAGTTTTATCTGAACTCACCCCTCTGATGATCCGTCTAGCTCCACCGTGCGGCTGTCCTTTGGGCTGTGCTTGGTGAAGATCACCAGGGCCAGATCCTCGTAATGCTGCCGCTGTTCTAGGTCCAGACTCTCTAAGGACTCCAGCTTGATGAAGGCCTGTGAGCACGTGCCAAAGGCCCGGTTGGCCGCGGCGCAAACGGCAAGCAGAGAGTAGATCTCCACCGCTGGGATGATGTCCTCATACTCACGCAGGTGAAGGGCTTTAAAAAAAGAAGAGAAACTAACTTGGCTTAGTGCATGTGAAAGTTCCTCTGGGGTAATTCCCCTCCAGAAGACTGTGACAGAAATTGGCCCTGGGGTTTATATGTAAGATGGACCCAGTTTTTCATAGGTCATGTTTTGCATGGACTAGTGGAAATACACTCATTATGTATGCATCCTCAGTCAGTAACGAGGGGATTTCCAGCGGCTCCAACCAGGACTCTGACGAAGACACGGAAGGGACAAGCCAGGACAGGAGAGGTGTCAAGCAGGAGAGGAGCGAGAGGGAGGGAGGAGTTGTGCGGGAGAGCTCATGCACAAATATAATGGTAATCATCGGTCGTTGGGCTGACGCTGGCCTGTTGGAACATTTTTACATATCGCCCAACCCTACGAGGAAGCTAAGCTATGCAAGTAGGATTTAAAACTGTCAACAGAATCAGGCATTTTTATAAGATATGGTAAGCTGCAAAAGCTCACAGGCCATTTAGATTCAATTTGTGAGACAGGAGACTTTGGTGAGATCAGAAGACTACAGATATTAAAAAAGGAAGCATGTTTTGAAAGTAAAGCATTGTGCCATGTACAGAGCTGCCTTTGATTCTAAGATGAAACAGGAGGCCGTGTAATAAGGCTTAAACCGAGATGAGTGCAACAAAAGTGATAAAACTAATACTTACACATTCTGACGTTTGTTCAGGTGCTTTCTCTACTTCTACTAGTTTGTATAGCTAGTAAAGATATTGATCGCATGACTGAATACTGTCCTACAGTTACTAAAATTATACTAAGGTATCTAATTTCATAATGCTACACATATCAGCATGATGCCTACTACAAAAATGTGTGGAGAGACAACCTGGGAAATACTAGAATTCTTTACTTTGTTTTCTTAATAAGACAGAACCATATTCTAAGTAGTCTAACTATCTACTGCTCTATATAAACTAGACTCCTTTCTGTAGTGGAGTGTGATTTGGTACCTGTGCGCATTGCTTTCTCCATGTAGCCTTCATATAGCTGCCTCTGAGCGAGTAGAAAGAAGTGATACGCCTCCGCTCCACGCCAGGCATTGTCCACAATACGATTGTCTGAAGAGGAGGCATCTTCCTCAAGCAGCCCAGCGAGTGCAAATGTCGCCTAATTACAGCAAACGAAGGACAAACACAGTTTGAGGTGCATTGCTCAGTGATGCCTATATCTAAAACACAACATAATATATAGTGTATATGTGTAAAGTATACTGTAATACATTACCTCAGACTTCTTCCCTTTGGCTTTGCTCTGCTGTGACGTCTTCACCTGCTCATGGTAATTTTCAACAAGAAGTGCTGCCAGCACATAGAGCTTCTTCACCCGCAGTGGCCGGGTCCTTTTCTCCGCCTCCTCATCTGCAATCTGTAACAGTAGACACAAATCCCATGGTGCTGTATGTGCCCACAAACACATCACTCCAGCAATTAATTAGCTACATATGAGATTAAAATATACATATTTAAGAATAATCTTCCTCTGAGTTATTCAATTAAATTCCCTTGTGTCTTAGCTCATCCATAACATCAAAGGTCCCAGGTGTGATTCACCTTTATTCAAATTGTTAACCCTGTTAAAAATACTGCTTTAAGGGTGCTGATGGAAGCTGAAACCAGCACCAGTTTTATTTTCATTAAGCTACTCAGAAGTAATGAGCATAAAAACACTTGCTTACTTTAAACATGAGTTTGGCTGCGTCAAGAAAATGGTGGGCTTTCCGATAAAGTTCCACCGCCTCTAAAGTTTTATTCTTCTCAAGCAGATGTGAAGCATATTTGGAAAGAAGAGATTTAATCTCCTTCATGTTGTGGGTCCTGGTGAGTTCCACTGCTTTGTTCCACTGTTGAGAAAATGACGGCACTTATTCAAAAACCAAATGAAAACATTATTATTTGAGATTATTCGACACGTACCACATTTAAAAAGTTACAAGCAGACCTTCCTGAAAATAACCCATAGCTGCATATCTCAATTACAGTCAGAGCACAACAGTTAGATAACAGTCCTTTCTCAAACATTCTGGGGAAGGTTAAAGGAAACAGTTAAA